ATGGTATCTGTTGTGTAGATGAGGATACATCCTCTGTGAAGTGGAAGGTCATAACCAAATGTGGAAAAGTAGGTTTGTCTCTTGCTGAAAGGAAATGAACATTGAATGCTGCTGTAGGAAGCCCAAGGCTTCAGTGGAGAACCTCAGAAACCAGGTAATGCTGAGCCATGAGGCATGACATTGGTCTCTCTGAAGTCTGAATAATATGTATAAGGATTTCCCAGATTTTGAAGTCATTAATGACTCATTTCTCTAGGATACAGATGTAAGTTCTTCAGTGGAAGGCAACTGGAAAATGAGTGTCCTGTTTACCGACATAAGATCTTAATAAAAGTCATCATGAAATTGACCTTGGTGGGGAGACACTGAAACAGGATCACATGGCCTGAGTGAAGTCCTAACAATAGAGAAGATTATGTATGAGGACACAAGAAAGACACAGGTAAGAAAAGGAATATTGACTGGAGTCTGGAATGCAGAAACATGTGTGTATATGTATGCACAGGTAAGTGTGAGTGTTTATGTACCTAAATAAGTTTAGATGGGCCTGGAGAATTAACAAGCCATGCTGTATTTTACAAAAATGCACTCAAGAGGAGACACAAGTTGGAAACCATTGCAGAAATACAATAAGACATAGTGGTGACATTAACCTAAGTTTATGATGATTAATTTGAAGAGAAATTCTAGGCCTTGGCCTAGAAAACAACATGAAAAAAGGCTTGGTTTTTCAGGAACACAATTTCCACAGACAAACTTCACTACAAATAGAATTTGCACACAGACAGATGTATATATCACTGCTTACTTGGATGAAATATATGCATATACTTCCATGTACAGATGGATTCTTTCATCACTGAAAGAAAAAGTGCACTTCAGTTCTACACTACAAATATATGTACCTACAAATTTACCTATGCCAGACAGTTTTACCTGCTATTTTTGAGAGGTGAAGCAGTTGCTTGATGTATCCTTTTAAACTTATGAGTGCATTTTAAATTGCTATTAATTAAATGAAAATTATTTTAACTTGAACAGATATGTAAGGATATTTGATGTTGCTTGGTAGCTTTTCTCATGCAGATCTATTTTGCACATGAGATTTGCCAGGGAGTTGAAGCTACCTCCTATTCTGCACCTGTTTATATGATTTGGTAATAGTCTTTTGTAGTGAAGGTTTATGAACATGGTGAAAATGTACATACATTCAATTGAGAGATATGATAACATGGCATAACTCAAGTTTCAACTATGATTTTGATAAATATTTTTTAAACTGGTTTTTGGGGTTTGATGGAATCCCAAGGGGGTAGACAACAATTCTACTATTAAAAAGTGTTAACATTATTTTGGCTGTAGACTCCAATTTTTGCTTAACAAAATAATTGTGAAAATTATTTCATTAAAATTTTTATATAAGAAGAGTTACATAATTCTCCTTTCACTCAGCACATTTCTTTTGAGATAGGGTCTTGCTCTATTACCCAGACTGCAGCACAGTGGCACGATCATGGCTCACAGTAGTCTCTACCTCCTGGGTTGAAGCAATCCTCCCACCTCAGCCCCCCAGGAAACTGGGACTACAGGTGCATGCCAGCACACCTGGCTAATTTTTGCTTCTTTTGTAGAGACCTGATTTCACCATATTGCCCAGGCTGGTCTTGAACTCCTGGGCTCAAGCAATCCACCCACCTGGGCCTCCCAGAGCCGGGAGGGATTACAGGTGTGAGTATACACGTCCAAACCCATTTCTCTTTCTAAGATTAATTCTGCTTTTATTTCTGGTTGCATGTATTTTGACAAATAATTGGCATGCTGTTGTAATATTCACAATGCTTCAAAAATGTGAAAAAAGTATATGTGAATATTAATCACATAATTAATGAAATATATGAAATAATGAGGCCAAAGCTAGTCATTAAGAAATATTTATAAACATTAGGTATTCAATTTCCAGATGTTGCCAAAGTTGTACATCCATGGGGACAGTCATCATAAATTCTGATTGATGTTTAAAATGAGAGGAAGAAATACCCAATTAAATAGTAAATTGAAAACTGTCTAATCTTTTTCCAGTGCATCTGTGTCGTCTTCTTTGTACTTGTAAACTTGAATTGCACGTTGCATAGGAGTCTTAACAGACTCATAAGTCCATCCCTTCCTGGTAAACAGCCTTTCAATGATGCCAGGCATTTCATAGCCCTTGCTTAGAATGAAATCCTTAAAGGCAATCGGTCCATAAAGATTGTCAAGAATATCGGGTTCATCAGGCTTTTTAAGTAGGGACTTGGGGTCAATCGAAGTTTCATCACTTGTTAGCTTTTCACACAACTTGGGCTTGAGGTGCCATGGTCCTCCATGCCTCATCTTTGCAGGCTGTGAAAAATTCAGTGTCGTCTCCGTTTTCTTGTCCCAGTCTTTTTCCTGTGAGAATAATTCGACCTCATCCATTTCATCTAGCTCTATGTCGTACTGAAGCTCTGTGGCACACTGATTTATCTTCTTATTCTGTTGGTCTTCATAGGTTGCTCTATCCCCGTGGATGCACTCATATAGATGCCTGATGCGTTTTTCATCAATTCCCATGTCTTGAGCCCACTTGAAGAACTCACTGAATTTTCTTGGTGTGTATTCAGGTTGAAGAGAGTCAGAAACACCCTCTGTTGTGCTTGGTGTATCTTCCTGAAGTTGTTCCTTTAGATAGGATGCTCGAATCTTTGGAAGCTCCGAGAATTGATGGGACATTGGAGCTCTGGGAGGCTCGGGGCAGAGATGAGACACTCCAATATTGGGAGGCTCCAGGAAGCGATCAGACACCAGACGAGTCTTGGGAGGCTTTGGGCAGAGAGTGGACACCGGACGAGTCTTGGGAGATTCCAGGCGGAAATAGGACATTGGCGTCTCGAAAGGCCGTGGGCAGAATCTCCCACAGGGGTATTCAGCATACTCAGTGGGTTCTTCGTTTGTCTTCTCCCAGCCCTCAAAACAGGCCGGTGTGTCCTCCAGCTTCTCCTCAATATCAGTCAATTGCAGCAACTGTTGCAGGAGACTGCACACCCGATGAGTATCGGGAGGTTCCGGGCAGAGATGGGACACTCCAGTCTCGGGAGGCTCCGGGTGGAGATGAGACACTGGAGTCTCAGGAGGCTCCAGGCAGAGATGAGACACTCCAGTCTTGGGAGGCTCCAGGCGGAGAGGAGATACGCAAGTCTCGGGAGGCTCCGGGCAGAGATGGGACATCTGGCAGGTCTTGGGAGGCTCTGGGCAGAGATGGGGCACCCTAGTCTCAGGAGGCCATGGGTAGAATTCCCAAGGGTATTTACCAGGCTCTGTGGGTTCCTTGGTTGCCTTCTCCCAGTCCTCACAACAAGCCCATGTGCCCTCCAGCTTCCTCTCAGGATCCTGCGGTTTCAGCACCTGTCGTAGGAGATCTGGAGGTGTATCTTCTCTCGGACTGCGGCTCCTGGCCAAGAAACACTCAGCCGTAAACCGGTCTTCCACTTCCTCTAGGGACACCTTCCGTGCTAGCCGGGCCGCTTCCTTGAGCGGCTTTTTCGGCCTGCTTTGGGGGTCAGCATATGCATCTCTGCTAGAGATTTTGGGGAGTAAGAACTCGTCCCGGCCACAAACTAGCGAATCTTCGGGAGACTGAGAGTGGTTCGAGTAGTCATCCATGCCCCACTTCATAAATATCCAGTTCTCGGTGTTTGTGGGTGGCAACTTCAGCTTCCCGAAGCGCTTGGAAGGCGATGTGTCACAGTACCAGGGCGTAGAGTCCATTCCCCGGTAATTTGGCCAGTCCTGTCGCCTCTGGTCCCCCATAGTGGTTCTCGCTGGGCTGCCACCTCTCCTGCTTCAGCGGTTCCGGATCCCTGCGGCTCTGGTCGCTAGGAGACCATGAACCACGTGCAACCCAGGTTCTTCCGGGAGGCGGGGCAGCTCTGACGTCACAAAGGCAGACCGGATTCTAACAGGTGTGTAGCGGAATCTCATTCTGGGTTTCATTTGCATTTCCTGATGACTGCTGGTATTGAACATCTCTATATTTGGTCATTTATCCTTCTCTCTCCTTGATTGAAGTTTCTGTTCATTTTTTCCCCGTATTTAAACCGGGTTGCTGGATATCACATTTAGTTTTGACAATTCTTGTTGTGTTCCACGTGTAAGTCCGTTATCACATACATGATTAGCAATCTTTTCTCTTCATCTTTGGCTTTTCCCTTTCATTGTCTTAACAGTGTGTTTCAAAGAGAAGATTTTTTTTCTTTTTCATTTGATGAGGTCCACTTTATTAATTCCTTCTTTTACAGATTGTGGTTCTTTTGATGTATGGTAGAAAGTTTCTTATTTCCCTTGTTAGGTGCAGCTGAACAATGTTTTCTACCATTACTAAAGTGAAAACTTTGCCTATCCAAAGGTCACAAAGACTTTTTAAAATTTAAATCTGTTTAAAGTTTTGTGAACAGCACACTATATAGATCAACGTTTTTATTTAAAAAATGTGTCTATTCCTATGTTTATCTGGTAATTTCAGAACTATTTTTGTAAAGACTATCTTTTCTCCACTGAATTACCTTTGGAAATTTGTAGCATACAAGTGTTCTAGATTTGTTTGTTGGTCAATTTTTTGGTACTCTTTTCTCTTTCAGATTTTTCTCTCACACAAATTTCACCCTCTGTTGATTACTTAAGCTTTATAATAAATCTAGAAATTAGGCTGTGTTAGTCCTTTAACAGTGTTCTTTTATGAAGTTGGTTCTTCTAGGTCCTTTGAATTTCTACAGAAATTTTAAAATCAGTTTGTCAATGTCTAAAAAGAAATCTTGTTGGGATTTTGATTACGATTCTGTTGAATCTATAGGTAAATTTGAGGATAATTGACATATTAACAATAGGAAGTATTCTGACCACCGAAAAAGGTACGTTTTTCCATTTGTTTATGTGATTCTTAATTTCTCAGTAATATTTTGTATTTTTTAGTGTGTCTTTCACATTTTTTCTCTCCAGGTTTTTTCTAAACATTGCTTTTGATAGTATTATTTTTAGTACTTTTCATTGCAATTTCCAATTTTTTTTGTTGTTAGTATATATAAATAATAATTTTTGTATATCCACCTTGTATCATACAACCTTGATAAACTCCCTTATTACTTCCAGGAGCATTTTTGCAGATTTCATTGAATTTTTTATATATATGATAACGTTAACTGTGAATAAAGACAGTTTCCCTTCTTTCCTTCCAAACTGAACATTTTCATCCCCCACCCTGCCCATTCCAGTTGCAATCCCTGATTTTCCTTTGAATAGCATCAGTTAAATTTTTATCTCTCTTATGGTGTTTCAAATGATACCTATGAAAAAGCTTTTTTATAAATGAATTATAGACAAATTCAGCTTGCATTATTCCTTAACCATATCATTTTCTCATCACAGTTTTTTTTCCTGTACATTCTTATCGATTTTTAAAAAGAAGTTTTCTTATTTCCCTTGTTAGGTGCAGCTGAACGATGTTTTCTACCATTACTAGCAGGTACATCTTAGTTTCTCCTTGTAAATGAGGCGTGATCAATGCATTTCTTCCCTTTCACTCCTTCTCTGTAAAACAGATGCAACATATATTCCTCTTCAGTTTCTCATTAAATCAAAGTAATGGATTATGCGTAAATCAAGATAATCTATATAATGTGATTTTGTATAGTGTCTGGCACAGAATAAGCATACAGTAAAGTATTGTTATTTTATGTAGCATTACTACAATTGGAAAATAAAAAATACTCTACATTCAGTGTATAAATAATGGAGAAGCAGAAATCATACAGATCTATTACATGTCACAAATATTTTCATTTATCGATTATAAGAATCTGTTAAACTCTCAACATACTTAGTAGATTTCATAATGTGAAGTTGGTAAGACCATTTTGATATGGATTTATTTTTAACTTTCTTACTTGGAAAAATTGCATGGAATGTATGTTAAATTCAAGAGCCAATGCTTCACAATTCTCTGTAACAGTATTCTAACTAGCAAGCTCATATGTGTACTCACTTATCTAAAACGGGTGAGGGTTTGACTAAAACTTCTATATTCTAAATAATCCCAGAGAAAAAGACACACTGAAGCTCCTAAAAGTCAACTGGGCATCTTCAAAGTGTTTCCTGTGACTGTTCATTAAAACAGTTTTTGCACCATACAGCCACTTCATTTTTTCCATGTTTCAAATTAGAATATTATATAAAAGACTCCTATCCAGAATACATAAATAATCATTAAAACTGAACAATAAGACAACAAAGAACACAAAACACAGTGTATAATACATAGTAATTTAACATGTATAGAGATAGGCAGCTAAAGAAATAATTATAGTTGTGTGCACATATTGGTTAGCATATACATGCATATATTCTATAGCTCTGTCTGCTGAGAAACTAGAAAAAAATGACTCATTCCTTGGAGAAATGAGTAATTCTAGGCCTGGGGCATTGAAAACACAAGATGGGGCTGGAGTATTATGTGATGTCAGAAAATACAGAAGTTCTCAGAAAACAAAAGGATAAAAGCAGATCAGGAGGCAAACTGAAAGAGCACTCAATGGCCACAGTTAAAACAATTGAAGCAACACAAGAATTAAAATTTAAAAATTATAACACAGTATCAAATAAAATATCCATGAGTCCATACTGATATAAATAATTGTACAGATAAATAAATGAAAAAAAGGTACAAATCTGTCTTACAAAGAATTTCAAAAAATACATAGATACTCCTCCCTCCAAGAGGTGGAATTTAAACGCCCTCCACAGAGAGTGGGCTGGATTCTAAAAAATAGAATATGGAAAGGGAAAAATAGTGACCTTTTAGTGGAGAAGCCTGGCAGTTCTCTCCTTAACCAAGTGATCAATGTTAATAGCAGCAGTGAGAAGTCACGTTGGTATCATGCACTCCTCTGATAGGATGTGATGAGAAAGACATTTCATCTCCAAAGTATTCTTCTCTAAATTCCAGAATTCTAGTCTAATGAGGAGAAAACATCTAACAAACCCAAGTCCAGGGACATTCTACAAAATTCTGAAGTACTCCTCCAAACCATGAGGTCTTGGGAAACAAGTAAACGGTAAGAACCAGTCATAGACTTTAAAGAGACATGAGAACTAAATTCAATGTGGTAGGCTGGGTTGGATCCTGGCACCAAAAAAAGGGCATGGGTGTAAAAAATTTACAAATCTGAATAAAGTCTGAAGTTTAGTTAATAGTAATAGGTCAATGTTAATTTTTTAGTTTAAATGCATGTACAATGTAAGATATTAATTTTAGGGGAAGCTGAGTAAAATGTGCATGAAAATGCTCTGTAGAGTCTTTGCAACTGGTTCATAAATCAAAAATTATTCTAAAATAAAAGGACTTCATTTTAAACTATATATTACATCAGGATAAATTATCAGCAAATCACTATTAATTATACAAGAGAGAAAGCTGTAGTTTCTTTAAAACGCATACTTGTGGCCAATCTCACACCATATATAGTAAATCATAAATTTTTCGATGTGGACCCAGTCATCTACGTTTTACATGGTCTCTAAGTTACACACACCAATATGTGAGAATTACTTTTCTAAAGCTCTGTGCCTTTATAGGCCCCAAAGACTTTCAAAGAGTTTAAAAACCACAGTAGTTATGGTGTTATCCAAAGTCACCAAATTTGAAGAAAATTAAATTTCAGCAAGTGCTACATGGGAATATGAAAATGAGATAGTGGAGCCCGTGGACAAAACAGTTCACTTAGATAACATGTACATACCTGGTGTGCCCACAGGATAATGAAGTCAAGATAGAAGAGTAATGAAGATACAAAGTTTGGCGAGTACCAACTGGGAGTGAAAGCACCTTACTTGTCCAAACAGCCCTTCTTGGGTTAAAGAAAACTGACATTACTATAGAGCACAAAGAAATTACAACTGGCCTGTTCAGTCAACAAGCAACAACTGCCTTAGTATGAGGTCTTACTCCAGAAATGAGTAATGCAGCTTACAAGCAAAACCAACACCAAAGAGCTAATAAATAAGTGTTCAAGGAAGTCAAAATGCTCTGAGCAGAGCAACATGTAATGAATAAGCAAACAAGAAAATGAAAACAAACAATGAAAATCAATGTGATGAAGCCTAAGCAGTCCCAGTTCTGACATCTTAGTGTGCCTCTGACTGCTCTTAGTTACCTACAACCTTTACTGCAGGCTTAACTCAGGACACCATTTTCATCCTCCAGCAGACTCAAGTTATCCGCAAGTTTGCTGCCTCTTCCACCCACACACAGCCCCTGCCAGCTTTTCTCAGATACCTAATCATTTTCACTCTGATCTGACCCACTTTGGAAATATTTTGTTTTTATTAGCTCTCGGTAAGTTTGCTTTCTGTGATGGTTAATTTTCTGTGTCAACTTGGCTAGGTTATGGTGCCAAATTGTTTGGTCAATCAGTCTAGATGTTGCTGTGGAGGTATTTTGTACTTGTGATTTAACATTTTATATCAGTAGACTTTGAATAAATCAGATTTATCCTCCATAGGATGGGTGAGGATCATCCAATCAGTTGAAGGCTTTTAGGAAAAAGACAAAAGTTCTTCCAAGAAGACGAATTCTCCCTCCAGACTGAAACACAGGGATCTGAGTTTCCAGCCGTTAGAATCAAGACTGCATCATCAACTTTTGACCGAATTTATAACCCACAACCAGCTCTGCAGACTTTGGATTAGCCAATCCCACAGTTGTATAAACCAATTCCTTAAATCTCTCTCTCTCTTTCTATACACACACACACACACACAGACACACACACACGTATATATCCTATTATTTCCTTTGTAAATAAATCTTATTTTCTATTATCCTATATATCCTACCTCTCTCTTTATACATATAGTCCTAGTACTTTCTTTTCTTTCTGGAGAACCTTGATTAATACACTATTCATTTTGATCACCTTTTTCTACCAGTAACAATGCACATATCTTGTCTTATAATGAGATACACTGCAGCAATTTTACCACTGCTATACCCACTGACACTTTTTCTCAGCAAGATATAAAATGTAGTTAAGGCCTAAGAAATAATGTAGACTTAAATGTTTCCATTTTGTTCTTTGAATCAAAAAGCATAGAAGAATTATTCCATACCTTGGCTAAATATCAGAATCACTTGTGGCCCATCTTAAAAGTGTATATGCCAACGTTCTACCCCGAGCCTGCTGAATCAAAATTCCTGCCATTGATAATGATTCTCAGGCAAGGGCTGAAATCCCTGAATACATAATAATTTGATCACAGTATCTCAGACAGGATATAGTCCAGCATGACTGTTATTAATAAAGAACTTGAGGCAAAAAGAGAACAAATGATTTATACAAGTTCTGAAAAAGTAAGCATGAACAGTGTCAGGCTAGTATTTTTCACGTTTCTGGAAGATTCCATCTATTTTCTGGTATAGATAAATTCCAGAAAACTGTAACAGTATTCTTGTCTCTTTCTGTGGATATTTATCATCTGGTCCGTTGTTCCAATTCACAAATATAAATGGATTGCAATATTTAGAAAATAATCGAACAAAGGCAGCACTATTTTATAAGGTGGTTCAAGTACAAATGACACTCTCCAGTATAAAGTTAGAGGACTTCACAAACGGCTAAAATCTTGGCAATTTTGTGTGTTGTTAAAGTAATAAAACTTTGAGGACAGGTAAATGGTACTGTGTCATATTTTTTGATTTAATTAAAAAAGACTGCTCGTGCTCACTTCGGCAGCACATATACTAAAATTGAAAAAAGACTGCTCTTACTTTCCAATTGATGGAATTTTGTAGATGCATTCAACAAGCTGTCATTAATCTAAGCTTATTTTCTAGTTGCTAGCAAAAAAAATCCAGAATTAATTCACATTCTGGATATGAATAATGTAGAATAATCAATAATCTCAGTTGTCCACTACTGCTGTTTTCATCTTATTCCTTGGTCTCTAATGCAAAATGTGCATGTTTTACAGAATTATCAATTCACAGAGTACTGT